TCCCTTTCATGACAACCTTATAACATGATTGAAGTCCATTATCGTCATTCTTTCTTTCCTCTTTCCCACTTCTTGCTTATATTAATATCACGGTGATCGGTTTCCCCCGGGCAAACGCCTTTTTTTTTTCTCCAAAGGTAAGGAAAAAATCGCGAACTTAGATAAAAAATGCAACCAAAACCAAGCGGGAAGAGGTCAACCTTCGTTCGAAAACCCGCCCAGAGAAGAGCCTTTCCCCGGCCATCCCGCAAGCAAAGGCCCAGGCTGGGTTCTTTGTCTTTTTTACAAGTTTTTCGATTTCCCGCAAGCTGTGAGTTTCCATGATTCCCTCTCCCGCATAAAAAACCAAAGAAACAACCGACGGGAAATATCCAAAGTTTCTTACAGGGGAAGCGGCTGTCGCAGGATTCAAGGGGCTAACGTCTGATGCTTTAGAGACTCTAGAATCAATCTGAAGGACAGATATATACTCTTATTCTGCGTCGATTCTCTCTCTCCCCCCGGCGTTTCGTTTTTGCCATTTTTATGATGAGATTGTCTCTCTGACAACAACCTCCTTCAAACCCCGAAAACTAAAAGGTAACCTACATTATTACTTTACAATTTATCATCAACACGCGAAACAAACGAGGAGACCAGATCTCTCATCCAGCACCATTATACACCTCTTTTTTCATATTATCATTCTTCTCCCTACATATGTTTCATAATCACATTTCACGGCTTCACGACACTCTTTCCGAATTTGTCCATATATTAAAGTCCGACAGTAGGAAAATGGCCCTAGATCCACGATTCTACAGCAATATAGGAGGGCAGTCTGACCACTTCGCGACCCAGGCTAGAGTCTGTACTCCTCCCGTCGATTCTCCTTCCGCCCAATATTATTACGCTGGCGCGACACCAAGTATGGCTTCATTTACATCTGCATCCTCGGCTGCGTTACGATCGACCGCGTCCACGCCGTCATTCCGATCGCGAGAAAACGTCATGGCGCCTGTAAGTAAGGCCGAGGCGCCAGTTAACAGTGGAGGAAATGTTAAGGTCGTTGTGCGTGTTAGAGCATTTTTACCAAGAGGTTTGCCCCCCAGTCCTCTTTGGGCGCAGGTTTATTGCACTATGGGGTTGAATTCTGATATGGTCATATAGAGATAAGTCGTGGAACAGAATGTTTGGTGTCAATGAATCCTCGGACACAATCGACCACCTTGTCTGCGCCACCAGCAGCAAGTACAAATGACTCGCCAAGTGCAAGGGCCCAGAGCAGAAGTAAAGCGATTGAAGACAAACCTTTACATTTGACAATTCGTTTTGGTCTCATAACAGAGCTGATCCACACTATGCCGAGCAAGAATACGTATATAACTGTCTGGATGAGGAGTTTTTGGACCACAACTTTGAAGGATATCACACGTGTATTTTTGCATATGGACAGACAGGTTCAGGGAAGAGTTACACTATGATGGGAACCCCAGAACAGCCTGGACTAATCCCTCGGACATGCGAGGATCTGTTCCAGCGCATTGAGAACTCAGAGTCGCCTGATATTACTTATAACGTTCGCGTGTCCTACTTTGAGGTGTACAACGAACATGTCCGTGACTTGCTAGTCCCTCGAACAGATCCCCCATACTATCTTAAGATCCGAGAGTCCCCAACAGATGGGCCGTATGTGAAGGATCTAACAGAAGCACCAGTTCGGAATATTGCAGAGATTATGCGTTACATGCGAAAAGGTGACGCATCTCGTACGACTGCCAGTACGAAAATGAATGATACTAGCTCTAGATCGCATGCCGTTTTTACCATTATGCTTAAGCAGATACACCATGACTTATCCTCTGACGAAACCACAGAACGAGTTGCTCGTATCCGACTGGTAGACCTTGCCGGGTCCGAACGTGCCAAATCTACTGAGGCAACCGGGAAGAGGCTGCGTGAAGGTTCGAATATCAACAAGTCTCTGACCACTCTAGGCCGTGTGATTGCATCTCTGGCAGATCCAAAACAGCGCCAAAATGGGCGTAAGACCAAAGATGTGGTCCCTTATCGAGACTCCATCCTCACCTGGCTTCTCAAGGATAGCTTAGGAGGCAACTCAAAGACCGCTATGATAGCCTGCATCGCCCCAGCAGATTATGACGAGACTCTATCAACACTTCGATATGCCAATCAGGCCAAACGTATACGTACACGAGCCGTTGTCAACCAGGACCATATTTCTGCGGCCCAAAGAGACGCCGAGATTGCAGAGATGGCTGAAATTATCCGTACTCTGCAGCTCAGCGTTAGCCAGCAGGCGGTCACCAAACGAGAGAGCGAGCTGCAGACCGAGAAACTAGAAGAGTATCAGAAACAAGTAACAAAAATGCAACAGTTGATGGAAGAAATGAAGATGGTCAGTGAGACCAAGATTAGGCAGCTGCAAACCGAAAACGAGGCCCTCCGCCTTCATCTGAAGCTGGCGCTGGAGAGTTTAAAGAACCCGATACCTTCAGTACAGGTTGTCAAACAGAGAAACAGACAGAGTAGCATTCTCTCCGTACCAGAAAAGGACGAAGGCAACATTGGAATACTGGAGGAAGATGCAGAAAAGGAGAACACTGCGCCTTCAGGCCACGATGATCAGATATGGGATGGTGAAAATAGACCAATCGGCCTAAACCGCTTCGACCTCGAAGCACTCGAAGTCCAGGCGGAGATGGAAGACCTCCTTTCCGACCTGAACCTGTTCAGAAGAAAACTTGCTGATGACTGTGAACGATTTGGCGTCAAGAAGAGACCTATACGAACCAACAACGGTACGAGAAAGGTGCTCGGTGAACTTGGAGCCAACAACTGATGATGAACGAGACGAGACCTTGACGAGAAACGAATCCTTCGACCTCACTCACTTTTCTACTTCAACAGACACGATCCTTTCTTTCCTAGGGGGGCTTGAGGTTTTGTGGTTATACTAGTGGTGGTGTTTTTTTCAAGGCCGCGGGCAGGATGGGCGTGGAGTATTTGCTTGTTGAACTGTGTGCGAGCTGTCTTTTTTATACAGCGCCCTGTCTTCTTTTTCTTCTTCTTCTTCTTCTTCTTCCTTTAGATATTACTCTCTTTTTTTCTTTACTTGTCTGGTGGGATTTGGCAAGATAGCGTGAATGAATAAATGAACCAGGCTGTATCCAGGCCTAATATTAATTATTGAATGCCTCTTCACTGTGACCTATATTACTGTAGAATATATGATGCTAACAGCCTCTGGATGGTCAATCATTGTCTTGTCTTGTTGTCTCTCTTGGCTGGTTGAAGTTCTTCTATCATGACTCAAACGCCGCCAGCACAAAACTTGCCCACAACCACAACCGCCGCAACCACCACAGTAGCCTCGACGGCCACGGCCAGCGACCCCAGCAGCGAGCAGCTTGCCATATCGATATCAGAAATAGCTACAATGGCAACTCCGCAGGACAAAACAAGCCCTCCAGCCCGGGGTGACGGTCAGTCCGTTACAACGCAACCAAGTGCGCAGTCTACTCCGCCAGCAGAGACGGCACCAGCAAGCACGCCAAAACCACCCAGTACTCAGAAGCAGGCAAAGGAGAAACCAGTCGCCCCAGAGGGTACAGAGAAACTCTCGGGTGCTGAGCTGAAGAAGAGGGCAAAAGCTGAAAAGGCAGCGAGGCGCGCAAAGGAGAAACAGGAGCGCACTCGTCCCGCAAGTGAAGACCAGGAAGTGAGTGCTGCTGCTACCACCACTGCTGGCTCAGCTGGTTCCTCAGCTACTACCACTCCGCAAGGACCGTCGACTCCAAAGAAGACTCCCGTTGTCAAACAGGAAGCTGGGAAGACTCCAAGCAAATCGTCTGTACAGAGACGTGGGTCGATACATACATTGCCTACCCCGCCAGCGCCTGTAGAATCAACGTCGTCCAAGAAGAAGAGAAGAGAGGTCGTTGACGAGAAGGTCGTTGCTGTCTTTGGTCATTTGCCATGGTATACAAGGAGGACTGGCATCGCGGGCGCAAACAAAGACGTTCATCCGGCGGTTCTTTCGCTGGGGATGCAAATTAAGGACTACGTTATCTGTGGCAGCAGTGCTCGATGCGTTGCGACTCTCTTAGCATTCAAACGGGTATGCCAGTCAATACTCTTTCATATCAGAATGCGCGGAAGCTAATTTATTTATTTTTAATCCAGGTTGTTCAATCATATGTCACACCCCCAGGGACGTCCTTGACCAGACACCTAACATCACATCTAGGTCACCAAATCGCGTTTCTTGCAACATGTCGACCGCTTGCAATCAGTCAGGGAAATGCAATTCGTGCTCTGAAGCTGATTATATCATCTATTGATCCTGCTGTCCCCGAGCCGGATGCCAAACAAGAAATATACGAGTTCATTGAGAATTTTATTCGCGAGAAGATCACTGTTGCTGGCCAGGTTATCGCCAACAGTGCTGCTGAAAAGATTGATGATGGAGATGTCATCCTCTGTTTTTCTGGCAGTAGTGTGGTTCAGAGAACTTTGCTCACCGCACATAAACAGGGCAAGAAATTCCGTGTCTCCATCATTGATACCCGTCCTTTATTCGAAGGGCGGAACCTTGCCCAAACTCTAGCCAAGGCTGGATTAAGAGTTCAATATTCTCTCATTAACGGGATAAGCCAGGCTGTCAAAGATGCGACGAAAGTTTTCCTCGGCGCGCATGCTATGACCAGCAACGGTGGTCTATTTTCCAGAGTGGGCACTGCCCTAGTTGCTATGTCTGCCAAAGAAAAATCAGGAGGCATGAATATTCCAGTGATCGTCTGTTGTGAGACTGTTAAATTTACCGATCGCGTTGCTCTCGATAGCATAGTTGTCAACGAGATAGCAGAGGCGGATGAGTTGGTCGCAGCCGAACCATCTACACAGCTTACGGACCTCCCTCCACCAGTCACGAATATTAAACCCGAAACATCCAAGGGCTCTTCCTCCTCCGCCATTGAGATACCAGCACACCTAAAGAATCCAAAACTACCCTTGGAAAACTGGCGTGAAATGCCTAACTTACAGCTCCTGAACATTATGCATGATCTCACCCCAGCAGAGTATGTGGACATGGTTGTTACCGAGATGGGGAGTTTACCTCCCAGCGCAGTTCCAGTTGTTCACCGAATGAGCACGGATACTCAGAACTAAAGCAGCTTTACCTGCCTGGTTACAGAGTACTTATTCTCACAGATGCCGTTGGTAATCTTTTTCAACTGCGAGGAAATGCTGGGTCGAGGATCGCGAAGGGGAGAACGAAATTACAGACCCGCAATTATAGCCGGCTGGAGACAATGTCACCCGTCTCTGTATATTAGTTATTCTTGTTCCAGCCATCCAGACCTCCTCCATCTATGTGTCAATGTTCAAAGAATGAAGCAATACAATCTGCGGGTGCGTGGCGTCATGGGATAAATATGATTACGGTCAACAAGTTACTATGGGTCTTATGGGTTATTCTAAAAGCATACAACAAGTTCTCCTTATAACCATTTACCCTCTAGATTGTATCCAACTTTACAATCCATGCTAACTGCGTCAAGCATTTGGCAGCCCATTTAAAGTCCAAGCTCATTCGAGTTCTGCGCAATTTAACACAATATAATTGGTTCAAACCGTATTCTTACCTTCAAGCAAGATGACTAAAGACAGCTAAGCCTAATTAGGATAGTAATGGAGCCGTATTTGAAATAGTAAAATATTATTCGCCTAGCTGAAAAGGAAAAGACAATTATCAACCAATAGATATTTATACAACTTAATTTGCTAGATAAAACTTATGACTAAACTAACTCTACCCTGATGCACCACGTGACCATACAGCATTTATAGAGTGTAAACGTATAATCAACAGCGCAGCACAACATAAATATAGGAAAACAAGATAAATAAAGAAGTGAAAATGGTATATCTCATGCTTCATTCTGTCTATAGCTACAAGCAGGTTCTAAGCTGACCCGCCTTAATAGTCCAAAGACTCTTCTGCAACACACCTCCATCTCCACCATCCACGTCTAGCAGATGTGTTTGAAGACTTCAACCGCCCACACACCTCACTATTCTCATCGTCGGCTATGAGATCATCTGATATTCAGCAGCAGCAGCAACTCAATGCCATAAATGACCTTTCATCTCCCGCCAACATTCCCTCGTTCCTACCTATAGAAGACATATTTGTACAGCCGCAGTTTCAACCAGTCAACCCCGAAGATGAAGACGACGTTGTGCCCGACCAGCATGCTGCGTTTGGTATTACTAGCGTCATGGATTCAAGGAGGCAGATTTCGTGGCGCGACTTGGGGCTTGAAGAGTTGATGAGTGGCGTTCGGCTGACGCAGGGGGAGAGGGGTGAAGCCAGGCCCGCTGGGAGAGGGACCGGCAATGTTGGGTTAGGTGTGAGAGGCGGTACTGCTGCCCTCCCGGGGAGTAATGCGCGGAGAAGAAAGAGGATGGTTTGTTTAAGATGACGATATGGATGTCATTGTTTTTTTACGGTTTGGTCGGACTACCAGCATCAACGGCTTTTCATTCTTCATGGCGCATGATAGATACCCAGGGTTGTTCTAAGAAAGCATATAATACATGAAATCACTTCATTAACCGTTACCAAGTCTATGTTGTACGCATTCATATGCGAATTATATCCACCCTTGCCCTCTCATATACTTTATGGCCCACTAATTTCGACTCCCGCTCCTCCTCGGTGAGTTTTCTAGGGTGAACTGCAATTTGAGCATAAGTTCCCGGCCCCCGACGCTTGGATAGCTTTCCCGGATTAATAACCAGTACGCTTTCAACAACCTAGATCATATACGTTAGAGCATTCGGAAAAGGGGGAAAGCTAAAGCCCTACCTTTATGAACCCAGGCAGCACACTGGGGGTTATTAGAATATCAGGTCTAGCTTTCCACCAATCCCCAAGCCTGAGATATCTGGTATCAAGCATAGACCCTATTTGTAGACTTTCATCGACACCAGATTTCGGGAGATTCTCCCGCGCTGTTGGGGGGAAGACCGGGGAGAAATGCCTTTGCTCAATTAGGTATCTAGGTAGCCGGCTCAACAGGTCACTCTCACTTGGCCGACCACCCACTACCTCCTCTCGTCTCAGCTCGTACAGAGTATCGGAAGCACATAATCCCACCATGACTTCATTTAATGAGATAGCCACAGGATTTGTGACAACTCTGGCCTGTTTGGGAGGTAGACCTAGTTCTCGTTTCGGAAGAATTTCCTGTGGCCATGAGACGTGCTTGCTGACAGCGTCTCGAACTGAAGGAATGAGTATTATGTAAATGTTAGGTACCTTTGAAGCAAGTTGGGTTAACGGCCGTGAGATGCAGTGTTTAAAAAGGGTGGTGAGGGTAGCAGTATCTGGGTCTAAGCCCTTCAGTTCCGGTAGGTCAAAATCACCTGAAGCGATAAGAGGATGTTCCAGGTCTATAAACGGTCCTGTTAATATAAGGGCATCTGCACACTCCTCCGCAGCTTTCTCGCAGAGGGCATTCAGAGGTTCGAATGCTAAGTTGTCATCTGTTGTATAAGGACCGGCTGCAAACATATAGTTCAAAGGCTGGTCACCGAAGCTGTCAAGCTTTTCATTTGTAGCCTTCACTTCTGCTGGTAATGAAATAGGTAATGGGAGCCGTGGAATAGTCAATACTTCGTAAACGGTGAAGTATTCCCCGGAAGCATTTATACCCCTGAGCGCAACAATCTGACCAGGGAAGAAGTTTATGTGCGGGAGTAAATCAATTTTCAGTGGTACCCGTAAGCCAGCCCCCGTCCTTCTAGAAGTTTCAAGGACGATTGAGGCAGTATTCAGTTTCCCTTCTGGGCTGTCTGAGGCTATCCGTCCCACAGCAATTATCTCTCGTGTGCTTTGGTGCGCGGCATTGCCAAAAGCAGAATCCTCGAGTTTGTGGTGTTTCTGAACTATCATCATAAACTCGTCTATCCGGTCATCAAGGATCTCTGAGGCTTCTGATAATTTCATCGCCATAGGTCTATACGAGAACTTTTTGATGTCGGTATTTGCAGTCAGTTTGATGCGGGAATCTGCATAAGGTGCAGGTGGAGCGGAGGCCATGTTTATGTGAGGATTAAGCGTCTCTATAACCTGGCCACTGTTTTGGCGTGCGGAGAATGGGGTTAAGCTGTTTAATTGTTAGAGCAACTTCCAGTGATTCATGGCAGTGGGATATCCTACGAGGTTCCGTTGGCAGCGCCATCAATTGGGCGCGATGGAGTTTTCACATTCCCTGGAGAGTCTAATTTCACACCTTTATTAGATCTTGAGTTTGTAGGCGTGTCGAACGCCTTTCGTTTTATGGAACTTCCAGTGGGACCACTGGCGTTTCTTTTAGGAGTGTTTGGAGCAAAATCATCTAGCCTGGGAGATATTAGTACCTCTTCAAGACACTCAGACGTACACTTTCACGGTACTAACATGTCAAAAATTCCCTGATTTCCCCCTGCTGCGGGTCGAGATGTCGCTGCTCCTATACTTCTCTTCTCCGCGCCCCGCATTTGTGTCTTCGCTCGTGATTCCCTCTCTATGGCATCCTGAAGGCTGCGCTTGAAGGAACGAACCGAGTCCAGGTTCAACCCTGTTTCCTCTCCAGCCATCTTCAAACAGTAAGACTCCCATTTGTAAAAGAGCTCCTGGGGTTCGATTGCATGGAGCTGTAGAATGGACAGAAGCTCGCCCAACACGTCCTTGGGGATTCCATCAGGAAATGAACCGCCAAAGAGTTCATTCAGTTGACCCTCGAGCTCTGCCATTATCAATTCTATCTTCTATATAGCCATATACGAGCTGAATTTGGCTAATATCAGAATGACAACGACATAAAGATCCGAACATGTAAAAAGTTGCCTTTCTTGACGCGCTCAAAAAAAGACGCGACTTAATTAATGAAGGCGGTGAGATTCTGCCGTTCGTAGCTCCCCCTGAGAAAAGTTCTTGGCAGTTTATTTGAGTTGAAAACAACAGGAAGAAGAGAAGAAGAGAAGGACAGTGGTTTTCTTGTTTGTTCATCTCTTGTATTACTGGTCAAGCGGTCCCTAGAAGAAACGAAATGGCATCCAATGAAGCACCAGACAGGCAAAAGGAGAATATAAAGCCAGCGGGAACCACGCAAACGGAAGAGAGCAAAGATAACAAGACACCTGCAGAGAAGGCCGTTGACCTCTCCAACCTCCCGTTGTCCGCTGCAGATGGCTTGATCAAAACCCTCTTTCGTGGACCGCTTGACTCCTGCAAGCCTTTACCGCCAGCAGAGCTAACCAGCGAACAGAAATCCAAGTACGACAGCCTGTTGGCGTTGGTGACAGGATGGACCACGATACCGGCTACGTCTGCGAAGAATGCCCCTCTCGAGCCACTGAGCGATGATGAACGCATGTTCCTCACCCGAGAGTGCCTGCTCCGATACCTTCGTGCTACAAAGTGGAATGTCACTAGCGCAGAAAGCCGGCTGCAAGCAACTCTGACATGGCGCCGCGAATACGGCGTCAAGGAACATACCCCGGAGTATATTTCAATTGAAAATGAAACCGGCAAGCAGGTGATCCTGGGCTACGATATCCATGCCCGGCCCTGCCTATATCTTAACCCTAGCAAACAGAATACAGAACACAGCCCCCGTCAGATTGAGCACCTTGTATTCATGATTGAGCGCGTAATCGATCTTATGGGGCCTGGCCAAGAATCCCTTGCCTTGTTGGTGAATTTCAAAGAGACTAGTTCTGGTCAGAATGCTACCCTGTCTCAAGGAAGACAAACTCTGGGCATCTTGCAAAATCACTACCCAGAGCGCCTCGGCAGAGCTCTAGTTACGAATAGTACGTACTCCACAGCACATTTCATCGCTTTGTCCAATCTTCAAGGCTAATATATAATTTTACTGTAGTGTCCTTCTTCATTCTTGGTTTCTTTAAGCTGATCACGCCGTTTATCGACCCGTTGACCAGAGAGAAATTAAAATTCAACGAGGACATGCGGCAACATGTCCCACCCTCCCAACTTCTCAAAATAACTGGTGGTGATGTTCAGTTTGAATATGACCATTCCGTCTACTGGCCGGCTCTGAATGCCCTGGCGGCCCAGAAACGAGAGGCCTATCGTGAGAGATGGGTCCAAGGAGGTAAACTTATAGGTGAGCATGAGGACTACCTCAAGGGTGGATCTGGAAAGAGTCTTAAGGAGACAACCGCTGCACAGTCTCTCGATAAGACTGATATCGAGGAGAAGATGGAGAACCTTGCAGTCGATGGTCCTGCCAAAGATCAGCCAGAGTCCACGACCGTGACGGTTTGATCCTGGCTTTGTGTCTATATATATTATGCCCTTGTTTTCCTTGGAACTTAAAAAGCAGCATCTTACTTTTGAGCATGCCTGGCACTGGATCTGGCTTATTGTATCTTAGCCCCCTTTGCTTGCAGGTTTAAGAGGCGTTTTGTCTGTCCATTTTTGTTATATCATTCCTGCTAGAACTAGGCGTAAGGCTCTCGACTGGCGTGTCTTTGAAAATATCCCTTACCTGTTATTTACCATGACACTCTATAATATAATTTCCACGTCTATATCAAGGTTCGTATTGATTTTAGTCAGCCCCGGAACAACTATCGGACCGCGCGCCACGGCGGCGCCAGAAAGGGAAATTCGAAGAAGCGCCGGCTTTGCTCGTCATCTTTTTTTTGACGTCTGCGACTTTTTTGCCTTATATCAAAGTATCACAAACACTTTGCTTGCAGCGCTTCGTCAGTACCTTCTCTGCTACTGAGCAACTGGACATCGGTGCAAGGGCGATAGCGCTCAATTCCTCCGGGTTCCAGTGCGCAAACTAGCCTGTAACCTTGGCTCTTTCGAAGGGGAAAGCAATATCTCCCCACCAACCAACAACAGCTTATCGATCGTGCTATTTCCCCCTTTTTTACCCAGTCCAAACACAGGGGAGCAGACGTTTCAATTCGTTGGATGGCCGCTACGGCACTAGTTAGAACTTCTCTTTCCCCCCTATCTTCGATCGGGACCCGACAACAGCTCCATCAGCACAGTAGCGCATCCGCCCAAGTACCAAGCCGTAGAGCCATATCTCTACGCTCCGCTTCCTACCTCTCCAGTTTTCGAATAATTGAACGGCTGCTGGGCTGCTGGTAGTGCCTATGCTAGAACTACTTCTAGATTGGCAGAGCTAGCTTGTTTTTCTTTTCTTTTCTCTCTTTTGTTTGGTAAACGAACGGTTAACCGCTTCCGCGGAAGAACACGAGTATGGAAGACTCACTATCCCGACAATATTCAAACCCAACACAACATTCCAATTCTCCTACCTCCAATTCCGGTAGCTCGCATGCCCATAGCAGGTCCAAGGGTAGTCATGAGGCCCCCTTTGTGCAGCCATCTTCCTATCTACGCCCCCAAGGTTACTCGCGACCAACGACCCCCACCCTGCGGGAAAAGATTGTTGACGATGATGAACGACAGGCATTGGTAAGCCCCTAGGCCCCAGTATCTACTTTTCCGTTTTTGCTTGTTTCATGTTCTCTCCTTTGTTACTCTCTCTTCAAGCCCCTGTCCTATCTCCTGATCTCAAGTCCGAATTTCAACTGCTCCCTCAGCTGCTCTTATGTCTAGTCAGCTACAAACACGAGGAAATTTCCAATCTCAGCTGGAAGTTGCTCTGCTGGGCTATATATTTTATATTTCTGGCTCAGAAAGAAGAGTGGTGAGAAGGCAGTAGCTCGTCCAGCTTTTATATATACCCCGAGCAACCTTCCAGATACAAAGATACAAAGCCCCGACATCATCCCTTGTTTAAAATTTATAACAAGAATATAATCTGTTTCCAACTGAACATCTTTGTGCTCGTTCGCCCTACATCTTTACTTGGTTTAACTCTTTATGTGCTTTGTTGTAGCGTGCCATTCGAGATTTTTTAAAAGTCCGAACAAGTTATGACGTGCTGCCGCTCAGTTTTCGACTCATCGTATTCGATACCTCACTATCAGTGAAAGAGAGTTTGAACATCCTTATACAAAATGGTATGTTATTTGGTCGCTTCTCCCCCCTCTGGACTCTCTTGTTCTACCCTTGCTTGGCACATATCCTTGGCTAACCATGGATGATATTGAATTCATTATTGATATATAGGAATTGTCTCTGCTCCTCTTTGGGATTCTACAACCTCTACATTTGCAGGTATCCTAACGACATCAGATTATATTAATGTAATCCAGTATTACTTCCAACATCAAGAAGCCTTGGCAAAAATAGATCAGTTCCGGTTAAACAGCCTCCGAGGTATATATGCACCCAGGTTCATCCCATATAATGACACATTACAGCTAATTATTTTACAGAGGTTGAACGAGCACTTGGTGTAGCGCCTCCAGAGACCATATCCATTGGGCCGGAACGCCCACTATATGAAGCATGTCGTAGCATGCTATCCTCTAGAGCACGCCGAGTACCGCTGGTTTCATATGACAGTCAAACAGAAAGGCCATTGGTGGTCAGCGTACTTACCCAATACCGACTCCTTAAATTTGTCGCAGTAAACGTGGCAGAAACACAAAAGTTGCGGAAACCTCTCAAGGAAATTAATCTCGGAACTTATACCGACATAGTAACTGCTTCTATGGACACTCCAGTGATCGACGTTATACACAAGCTGGTGGAAAGGAGCATATCAAGTGTACCTATTGTGAACAGTGAAGGTGTGTGCACCCTACTCAAGCTCACTTCTACCATGACTCACTAACCATACCGTGGCAAAGGCGTTGTATATAACGTGTTTGAAGCGGTGGATGTCATCACATTAATCAAGGGAGGTGTATACGATGACCTCAATTTGGAGGTAGGGGAAGTGCTGAAAAAACGCTCCCCGGTAAGTACTTAGTTCCTAAAACCTACAGAATATTAAGCAACTTGCTAACCAGCTCGTGTGCAGGACTTTCCTGGAATTTATACTTGTTCCGTCGAGGACGGGCTGGATACCATTCTTGACACCATCCGAAGATCTAGAGTCCATCGTTTAGTAGTTGTTGATGACCACTTCCGTCTCCGAGGAGTCCTTGCATTAAGTGATATCCTTCATTACCTTCTCCTAGAAGGTGAACAGGACGAGCCATGATAAATGAAAAAAAGAAACAATGTGCATGTGCATACAAATTGGCGTTCCTCATTCCTACCCCTAATCTTTTTTTTTTCTCCCTTGATCATGGCGGCGTTGAGCTAAAAATAATGCATTACAACGTCATGTGTACACCTCTTCGTTTATCAAGTGTACCAACCGTTTCATTTCCACCTTGAATAGCCAGCATACGTGTGACCTCAACTTCAAAAAGTGAACAAGCAGACATCTAATATCTGGGATGGGCAGAGCGACTTGAATAATAAGGCATTGGGGTTAAATGGGGGTTTTTGGCGTTGATGATGCATGAATAGAAGAATATATATATCATGGAGGCTGTTTGGATTTTTTTTATTCTTCCATATGTTATTATATATCCCCCTAATCCGTGTACTGTTTATTTGTTTACTTACATACCTTCCTACTTCTCCGCTTATATTGTGAGAAGGACCTCACCTCTACCTTCATGTAATAACTTCCATTTTTCTGGGATGCCATTTCATCATTTATAGCCATGTAGATAACAAAGCGCAAATACTGTAGCTAAAAGAACCCCTTCAGAGCCGTCAAATTTCCGACAAAAAGAAGCCCAAAATGGGACTATCAGAGGCATATGACTATTTGACCAGTTTCTATAGCAAAGCCAAACGAAATGCAAGGCTTCAGCGAAGGAAAGCAAATACTTCAGGCGACAGTCTTCGGTCGTCGTCCTCTTCTCAAGATGTCTTTCATTCAGCTGTGCTGGCACCGAAGAAAGTCAGAAATTCCCGGCATCAGTACAGACAACAAGGAGGGGTCGGTGCAAGCTTCGGTGAGATCAAGCGAAGTGTGCGGTGACCAACCGCCTGTCATTCAGTTGGCACGAACCAGCACGATAAACCTGGTGGCACAGATGCAGCCTCACCTTTCTTCAGTGGACAGAGCTGCCGAAGAACATCCAACAATACCACCCCGCTCTCCAGGCCGGCCGGCACCGCAGGACGGAGAGCCTACTCAGCCCGCTACAGGGCTTACGATTCACCGCAATACCGCGTCGATGAACCTTTCCGTCACCACCGGGGGAGGAGGAGTGTATAATGGCATGGGTATATCGAGTAAGACGAGCAGCCATACAGCCCTGTCGGAGAGATCCAATCAAACCGTCAACCATGACCCGACCAAGCGAGCCACGAGCCCAATCGAGACGGTAGGCCCAGCAATGCCGTCTGAGGCCGAATCGAACCCGTTTTCGGACAGCAAAGCCATGATGGCATCATGGGAAGGGTCGCGCAGTGTCCTTGTCCCTCGAGGATCGTCCCAATGCTTCGGTCACGAAACAGAGAACTCAAACGGTAGCTACTATAGCCGTGACCAGGGAGAAGCCCCCAGAGGTGATAGGCAGTCCGGGAGGAGGAGTGATAGCAGCCACTCCTCGACTTCGGTGAGTTTTCGATTAATTGGTGGGAATAGAGAAGAGCGAAGGGAGCTGATTAGGTCGCAATCCCTTCTTAAATTCAATGCATCGGCTGAATATTTCGGGTTGAGTGCCATTATACCGACGGAGATGCCACAAATGTCAGCTCTAGGTAAGGCCTCCCATTCCGTACCACCCTCCTTACATCTTTGTAAGTACTGACTCTATGCAGTTGCTGAAAATGACAAACCCGCAAGGCAAACCTCGCTACTCAGCAGGCTGCGTAAAGTCAAATCTAACCTGACAGTTAAGCGAAAGGATACCAGCAAGCACACCTTGCGGCGTATCAAGACCATGGCAAATATGAACACTCAGGCCCAGTATGGCATGCTCGAAGGGAAGGCCATTGAAGACCTCGCACGCCTCGGGGGGGAGAGTATTCTCACTTTCCCTTCCGAATACGAACCAGGGGTCCTTCGGCTTCCCACTTGCATAGCAGCTCCAGTGTACTTCTTGTTGCAGCATGGTAGGTCAAGTGCGATCAACCGTTCAAAGGATTAGGTAGACGCTAAGATTAGTTCTTCTTCCGTGATCAGGTACTTCTGCACCGTACGGATACGGAAGCGCGTGTGATGAACTGGTTGTCTCGGCGCTGTATGGCCACTATGCACAGCAGATAGTCAGAGCAGAACGAGCAAAGGACACGATCAACAGAACGACAAGATCAGTCCGCCTTCCATCCGGCTATGTCTATAAGTGTGCGCGGACAAAGGGTGACGCCCATGTCCAGGACATATCCACAGTTCTCAGGCATTTCCTCTGCGAGCTGCCTGGTGGTATCCTGGGCTCGTCGCATCTGTACAGCATCCTGGTGAAGGTACACGACCAGAGCTTTTCTGAGGCGAAAGAATCGCGGGATCCAGGCCGAAAAGAATACATCAAAGGCATGGCCGCTCCCTTGGCCGCAAAGGTCCGGATGACTTCTCTGGCGCTGCTGTCACTGGCAACAGACATGCAGCTGGAGTTAATATGTGCCATTTTTGGCCTCCTCGCGCTGACTGCAGACGAGTGTGCAGACAGGAAGACCGTCCATCAGTATCTCCACGCTCCCGGCACAGCATCATGCGACTTTTGTTTGACGCTGCCCACTCCGCGTACGTTGGGACGAGTGTTTGGCTCCTTTTTACACGACGTGAAGGGCGTCCGCGAGCTCCAGCCGTCGGTGCAGTTTAAGCTGGCGGAGGGGACGAAGTCAGCGGACGTGGCGACGATGCTGATTGAGCTGTGGAAAGACATTTCGACACAGCTTCGCATGTGGGGAGTTCTCGAGAGTACATGAAGATGGTGTCTTCTTCTTTTCTGTTCGTGTAGTTGTAGTTGCAGCACTTTTGAACGCATCTGTTAGCCACGACGACGACCTTTTTCTTTTCACTCTTAACCACCCAAACCTCGTCCAAAATATTAATATCAACCATTAAGCAAGCACTTGCAACCGTTAAGAAGCGCAAAAAGAAAAAAGACGAAAAAAAAAAGAAATGCTCCCAGCCAGGCTCGAACTGGCGACCTTCAGATGTCAGAACAGTTTGAGCTGCTCCTCATACTTAGTAATATGAGACTGACGTGATAACCAACTACACCATGGAAGCTTGCTTGATGGAAGACGCTGTGGCGAGACTCTAGTTATGCGGCATCGTCGGCAGGAGACAGATAGCCAGTATTCTCGACTAACAAAGGAGTAAGGTATGTAGGATAGCGGTAAATGTCATTGGACAGTAACATATGCAAAACGGATGCAGAACGAAGTAAAATCAAAAAACGGGCTACACAGAACAAGCAGAACCAGCAAAACCCAGACCCAGGAGCTATCCTCCATCCACCCGCAGGCTTGCCTCGACCCCCGCAGCTTCATGTCGCAGGAGCTCCATGGCCTGCTCCGCCGTCAACTGCTGCAAGGAAACGCTGCTGATGGAGTTGTTGACAGCAGCAAGCATCATCTCGTATGCTCGCTGGTACCTGTCGACGCGCTGTTGGGTTTCGCGCATCTCCTGGGCCCTTCTCGCCTCCGCCTGTCTCCTCCGGGTCCGGTGCCTGTCGGCGGCATTCCGGTTTTGTTCCCGGACTCGGGCAGCCCTCTGGGCCTGGGTGAAGCCAGAGAGAGAGATTGGCTGCCGTGAAAGCTGGGCAGAAAGGGCTGGCGGTGGTACTAGTGGCTCCGACAGCTGCGGTGGCAGTGGTGCTGTCGGCTGTGGGTCCTGCTGTTGCGGAGGTGAGCATGTGTGCCCACGCAGCTCGTCGGCGTGCAGGATTGCCAGGTTTCTCTCCTCTGGCATCATGCCGGCAATCTGGTACTCTGGAAAGCCGCGACGCCGCCATATGTCGTCGAGTTGCTCTCGCGACATCGTGGTTGGCTCCATTTTCTGTGATAGCTATAGCGAAATAGTTAGATACCATGCATGTATATGCGGTGTGTGGGTTTGTTACTTACGAGCAAAGTAGGAAGTGCTATCTATGTATGATCTTTGAGGGCTAAGAGCAGCCTTGCTTTGTTTTTTTTTTTATTGTATTGTAACACGGTAGATTGGTCAACTGTACAACATGGTAATGAAGGAGAGGAAGAGAAAGAGGAGGGTTAAGGTGCTCAAGAGCGCCTTTTATGTCCAGCACTCATTGCCCTCTGTGTCATGGGTCTGACTTCTCTTGAAGAGGAATCCACGGATTCACGAACCTGTTATTTGGGTCTGACGTATATTTTGCGCATGTCGAGCTTTCAGCAGTCGGGTTCTGCTCAAGCCCTTTGCAAAAAAGCTGTGTATGACTCCCAAACAAGAAGTAACCACGGTCCTATGGAGCGGACTGTTTCGGCTTGACATGACCATAACTTGGATATAGCCGCAATTTGGCAGAGTCGATGCAAATTTTTCCAAGTTTCCATGGAAACATCAATGACTCTTAGAAAGAGTAATGGCCCATGAAGGAAAGTGGCGCGATCCATAGCATTTTCATGTTCCTTCACTGTAGACCTTACGTAGTTGCCCGGTTTCAATAAAACGATTCACGTTTCCACAGAGGGCGACTTCCCTATTCCCATATAAGGAATGAGGAATGACTTATCTCTTCGATAGATCAATTGAGACCCAAAACTCAACTGTAACGACCCCATTGTGGGCAGATTCTCATAGACAAACGTTCTAAAGCCGAAACTTCTTTGCTCAACGTATTGAAAACGCACGCTGGAAATGAGTAGTCTTCGCTTCAATAAGCTATTGGGGGTATCATGGCACTGCGAGCAGATTTAAAACAACTGATTAAGCATCCCAAGGTTGTCCTGCTGCTTTCGTTGGCATTGGTTCTGAACATTCATAACCGAGCAGCGAGCGTTCAGGTTATCGTGAGTCGCGCTCCAATGTCGTCAAAGGTTGATTTAAGGTTGGAGCCAAGGCCCTCTTCCGGGTCCACAGGGCACGGGCTTATTTAGACCTTCATGAAAAAGTGGAGTTGACATGCATGAATATCGCTGCATTCACTACAATGGAAATGCCCAATAGAGACAGCTGTGATGAAGGTGTTATTATGCAGGGAAGTAGAGATAATATCAAACAACAGTTGGCTGCAGACATGAGTCACTCACTTAACCTCATGCTTTCCTGTCCCTGGATTCTGGACCCTGGTTCACCTTGATGACTCGCTACTCTGCTATTCCTTCAGATATTCACCGGAACTATCAAGGTTCACAGTAAGGTATACCGTCAGCCAATAATGAGACATAGGCCATGTTTGCCATTACTCGGCGGAAATTACGGTTATATAATCGTCCCAGTTAACAGATGTACGAGTGTTGCAGAAATTCGTAGAAACCAGCATTCGATACACGAATCCGCTGTTTTGCAGTGTATATAGCTCAATAGGTCGTGTCGAAGGAATAATCTCTTTTTCTTTATATTTTCTTGTCACATGAAATCAAGTAAAATTAATAAACTATCTATCTTACCTTCCATAACTATTGAAAGGGAAACTATCAAGACACATTTTTTCCGAATAAAGCGTATCAATTTTCTAGCTGAAACGAATATTCGTTAATATTCGCTATAATAATATATTTTCGGTAGAAACTCAGTATATCTTCTCCGAAAAGTAAGTGGCCATAAGAAATCGGTCACTTCAAAATACAAATATACAGTTTTCTCTTTCTTCTTTTATTATAAACAGGAGAACAACGGTATCTCTAGCAAGTGTTGTTAGGCCGGTCCCAGTTTTAAATATATTTCACGAGTTGGGAGATTATCCACCTATTATTGGACGGGCTATCTAGATTTAATTGGTTGTCTAATCCAGCTACTACACTGCGATGATATGAAAAAAGGCCTTTTGACTGTCTGTGGAAGTCTTGTGATACGGCATACCGATCACCTTATATGGGACGGGATACGTGCACCGGTGAACGGCCCTTTCTATATATTAGTTGGGGTGATGAAAGAATACAAAGAGTACACACAACTAGATTCTAAATAGGAAGAGCTGGCTCCCTACGACTGGCCCTCTTCAATCAAAACCAAGCCCTCATCCGTCTCCTTAGTCTTTCGCTTTAGAACTTCATAGACTTTCTCCTTTACCCCAAGCTTGGCGTCTGTCCGTTTCATAAACTCCTCAACGACCTGAGAACGAGTTGGCTTGTTCTTCTCGACAAATTGCAAAATAGAATGTTCTTGAGGAAGAGCAAACTTGGCGTGAGGGTATTGCTTATAGTCCGCATTCTTATTTAGTAGTGGGAGGCGGCTTTCGCCTTTTGGGATACGGAAGAACTCATCGACGTCGGCATCAGTGACTTCAGCGAGAGATCCATGTTTCCATACTGGTGCCGTTGGAGGCTTATTAACAAGCCTGGCGGAAACACCCTCTACAAAGTCTGGATGAGCCATGAAATGACCAGCAATCTGGTCTTCTCGCTGGAATGTCTCAGAGATAGACCAATTCTTGCCTACACGAAGCTGGCGTAGTGTAACCTTGAGGGCGATCGGGGACCGTTGGGCGAGTGTTTTAAGAGTCTTTGCTGCCCAGTCGGCATTCACTGTCTCTTTTTCGAGGGCGGATATGATTTCCTCCATTGTGGAGTGGGCGAAACATCGATCTATAGACTCGCGGAGGCTGCCAGCTAGTAGCATTGGTTCTTCTTTAAGGGTCGGGATGCTAACAGCATATTCAGATATTGTCTTGTTGATGAGATCAAGGCGGCTATTCAACGAGGCGTAGTCCGAGAACACCAACTCTGAGAGTCGATTGGTAAGGTTGCCCAAGGCACTCGAGGGAAGGTAATGCGTTGCAATACCAGCATAGAAAGCCTGCACACCACTTAAGCGCTCCGATGTGAGGGCAAGGTATGTTCCAATCTCTCCATCAAGGCGTGGGAGGAAGAAAGAACCGCCGACATCTGGGAAAAAGCCAATTGTGGTCTCCGGCATTGCGAACATGGTATGCTCGGTAGCTATCCGGAATGGCGCATGTACACTGAGTCCAACTCCGCCACCCATCGTGATTCCATCCAAAACCGCAACGTAGGGCTTGCTGTAGGTCGCAATGTAATGATCAAGCTGGTATTCTTGTCCGAAAAACTCCCTAGACTTTTTCTGACCGCTGACCCCCAGGGTATTCTGCTTTGCGAGCTCAGCGACATCCCCACCAGCGCAAAACGCCTTCGTTCCAGCACCAGATATCATCACAATGTTGGCAAGCTGTGACTTTTCCCATTCCTAAACACCAAGGCGACCTTAGCGCTATTCTCCCGAACGTATAGGGATACGTAAAAACGGTGGAGGCATACCTGGAGCCTAGGAAGAATCTTCCGCACCATCGAACCATTGAGCGAGTTCAGTTTCTTCGGCCGGTTAAGCTCGACCAGCCTGACACCGTTGAGCTTTGAAAATAGGACATCGTCAGGCTCATCGCCAGGCAGTTCCTTCGGGCCAACAGGAGCAGCGGAGGAGAGCATCTAGTCAAATAGGTATAAAACTGTTAGTCAAACACGAAAAGCTAGCGGATGCGCTCTGTATTCACTCACTCTCGCCTTTCCGCTGAATGCTGAGCTTTCAACCTTGGCTCGTAGAGGCATCTGCGGCGATAAATTCCGTGAGAACCAGCTCGACGGTGTGGAGGATCGGACACAATTTGATCTAAGGAAAAACAGTGACATTGCAACTGCAAAAAAACCTGTAACCGAAAGGATTGCTTGTAATTCAACGAGTAGAAGCTGGTTGAGTTCTTGATGCCGCAAGCGATTGGAGAAGAAAAATGTTCTTTCGTATTGCTCGGCGAGCTTCGGCGCGGACGAACGCCTAAACAAGCAAGCTAGATAATATTGTTATATATATTAAATATCCAGAGACACCACGAAGGCTTGAAAGATCGGTTTATCTGGTGGACAATAATTGCAATGGATCTCAGTTTCTTTCTGGTTTCATTATACCATTGCGGCTAAGCATTCGGATAGGACTCTCTGGAGATGAAGAATAATATACTGGTACATAATCTAGTCAAAAGATATATTACACGATACGCCATGATATGCCTAAAGTCGTTCACATGTTACCCAGCGGGCGGCCAAGATCACTCGAGTGGAGGGCGAGCATCTTGTCCAAGGCCTGCTTTTCAATGATCAGTCGTCCAGTCTCGAGTAGATCCTTCACATCAACATCTGCGCGGTCCAAAGCCCTTGCATCCCGGCCAAGCTCTGCAACGGCTCTGAAAAGCCTCTCCTTCTTGACCTCTGTGATAAGAGATGACCGGCCGAATTCTCTGCCCCAGCCGTGTGTTTGGATAATATCATGGAGCAGGTGAACCGTAGACCCACGCTCTAAGGAGATATTGTCGTTGATGACAATTAGCTGCCCCCGTTGGTACCTATAACTCAGCGCTGTTCGCCAGGCCTTGTCGTAAATCTTTCGTGGAAGATCGGTCGAAAAATCTCGTGGATGGGGTCCATGGGCCACACCACCGCCTCTCAACATTGGAGACTTCTTATCACCGAGACGGGCCCTTCCAGAACCCTTCTGAGGCCGAATCTTCCTGCCGCTACCCCGTACGTCGTCCCTCCATTTTGTGCTCGCGGTACCTTGTCGGGTCTTGTCACCTTCATAGATGACAGCACGGTGTAGTATGTCTCGGCGCAGAGGGAGGAGGAGATGCTCGGGCTTATATTCGAGATGTTTGATAGGTTCCATCGAAGGGAAATCGTAGAGGGTGACAATTGCAGGTGTGGGATTCCATACTGGCTTTGGAATATCCTCCTGGAGCCTGGAGATTATAGGTGACTGAGCCGTAGATATCGAACCACTTCGTAAGTTTGCTTCCGTGGCCATTGCTCGAGCCTGCTGGCTAGGCATGCATTGCTATAATCAACCCACGTTAGCTCTTAACCAGATAGTCTTTGAAGAAAGGACAAGCAGTTTATATATCACCTTTGAAGCCTCGAGTTGACTACCAAAAACACCCCTGCTTCCTCTTAATAGCCATTTGAGGCTTCCAATTGGCCTACTTGCAGCCATTCTGAAAGCAAACGAAAGTCGAACTTAACCGCGTCTTGATGTGCTTTAGAAGTCTTGAATCTCTTCGAAAGTCGCATTTTTTTTTCGAGGTTTTTGGCTGGTTTTCCCTTTTTGGCACTAGCGCGGATTGAAAAAAAAAAAGCTCGAAAAAGCGAAAGGGAAAAAAACATCCAAAGAGCTGCAAAATCGAAGATATCAACCAATTGAGCTGCTCGAGGGATAGTAGCAATGGCACACTGCGAAGCGGCTTCTAAGCCGATATTGCAATGCCTTCGACAGGCGTATAGAGGCCGTCTCACCGCATCGCAAATCCGGCTGGACCGTTCATTCTCTTCGACCACAACTACCAACGCTGAAGCACAACCAGCAGCTCCCAAAGAGCCATTTTACAGAGTCCTCGACCCAGAATTGGTATCGAGTCCTCGCCTCGAAAGGAAGATTATACGGGCTGGAAAGTTTCCAATCGGTTCTCGTCGACGCCGTGCAGCGCTTCAAGGATCACCTAACCACCCATTCGAACAATTACCCTTCCAATGCTTCCAGGAGGCCCGGAAAGTCCTCCAGGAGGACCGTGAGGAGAAACTCCAGCAGATAGAAAAAGAGAGGGCGCGGTTGGCTAGACTACGTGAAGCAGACCCGGCAACAGTTGGGGGAGAGGCACAAAAGCAAATCAGAATCAAAAGCATGGAAAAACATCTAGAGAAATTGAAGATCCTGGCAGACATTAATGACCCTCTGATCAAGAAACGATTTGAGGATGGAATGGGTAATCCCCCTTCTCACACGCTGTATGACAATAGAAGGGTTTGGAACTAATATCGGATTGCTAGGTGACATGTCTCGCCCCATTTACAGGCATTTGGCAAACCAAAAATGGCGGGAATACCGACGACTGATCCTCATTCAGCGTCTCACTCAGATGAAAGTCATCCCAGATGTGCTTGCCCATATCGACCCTATCGTTGACGTGAAGCTCTTTTTTGGAAAGAAGCCAATCCAACCCGGTGTCTTCGTCGACTCCCGCGTCAGCATTGTCCCTCCCTCACTTGACATCCAGTCCTTCGACAAAGGCGAAAAGCTCGTGACTATTGCCGTTGTTGACCCGGATATACCAAATCTGGAATCGGATAGCTTTGACAGCAAAGCCATCTTCTTGGCTGTTAATGTTCCTATCTCGCCTACGTCAACCTCCGTATCGTTGGGAGACCTTTCTAAATCCCAGGTTGTTCTCCCTTGGACGGCACCTTATTCGCTAAAGGGCAGCCCTTACCACAGACTTTCGGTCTTTGTGATGGAACAGAAGGATCAAAAGCCATTGGACCACAAGACCGTCGCCGAGAAGGCAAACCGTGACCTTCGCCTTCGAAGCTTGGAAACCAGACACCAACTCAAGCCAATTGGTGCAAGCCTCTTCAGGACCAGGTGGGATGATAACATGGCATCTGTCATGGAGGAGCTTGGAATAGAGGGTGCAGACATTGAGCTGAAGAGGAAACGGGTTGAGCCACTTCCGTATAAGAGAAGAAACCCAGCCTCTTTCAGATAATTCTTGCCGTAGGATTGATGTATTAAAATGTAATATTCTTTCTTTATGTTAATGTACACTAGCATTTGACCGCCACACGCAACCTCTCTAAAGTCAAGAAGTAGAATTTTGTGATATAGGTACTCCATAGACACATATATTCCAAATCCCATTTCTAATGTTCGCCCACCGTAACTGGTTTCAGTGGGTTTTCAAATCTTTCGTAGTTGAATGGATACCAGAACCTCCCCAAGGCCTTGCCTAGGATGAGGCCCATCGGCACTGGCCCATAGTCCTTGGAGTCAATGGACCACGGCGCATCGTCGCCGCTTACCCAAACATGGGCTTCAGGAACCTATCAATTACATTCGTTAGAATAGAAGTTCGGCAGGACACCATCCGAAAATTCCATGGTTATCAAGAACAAAGGCCTTCCAACACACCTGTATCATTTGTGCATCCTTCTCTACAGCAGTTTCTCCGTTCAATGGAGGGTCCTTCAGCACATAATCACCGGGCAACCCAACAACTCGCTTTGCAACTTCGGAGTGGAAATCATGCGGCTTCTTGTAGACAATTATATCACCAAACCCGATGTCACGACCGTTTTTGTAGTGTTTCGAAATCAGTAACCAGTCTCCCTGGAAGTGGATAGTAGGGTACATGGACGGGCCATCCGAGGCCTTGAGCTCGTAGAAGTGCTCATTGAAAATCTTGAACCAACAGAACGTGCCTGCAAGATGGAAGGTATATATAAACGCGCGCTTCTGACAGCTCAGAGCACCGAACACGCGGCCAGTCATTCAAACGTCTTTTGCCAGCGTCTTCGCATCTTTCAAATCTTCAATGTCTGATATCAAATGTTTTTGATCGTCAAACCGAGATGGAAGAATGATTATGTAAGTAATCGGTAAATATATTATCCGTTACACTAACGTGCTACTGTGGGTATATATTTATCCGTTCCGTCCCTCTTCAGCGCTTTTTTTTTTTTTTTTTTTTTTGAACTTTTCACACAAACAACGCCTTGAAAGAAGATGCTGATATCTCGTTACAACCCTCGATGGCTAGACAAACTAGCATGTTATTTATGATGAAGACCCAGCAGACAAGGAGATACACCTTGATTTTGCTCCATCCGGACAACTGACCACAATAATGCTACTCTCTCAAGACTTAGATTATCATATTGCCTCTTCCATATAATAACTACCATATCCGCCCCAGCTCCTCGCTTCTTCTAAATGCTAGAACTTGCCGTTTTCAATTTCCCAGGACGAGCAGGTGTGGACACTGAAGCAAAATTATCCTGATGGGTCTAAGCCACCAGTCTTCTAAACGTGTGCTAGACCTACCCCGGCAGCCGGTCTTAACTTCTAACACCTATTTAATTATGGGATATGAGAAGATAAGTGGCTATGTGGGAGACATGCCAATTTGAGCTATATTCTTGAACACATTCAAAGGCACGCCTTACACCCCTTGCCGACCCTAATAACTGAAAGCATAGTGATACCTCCAGCTGAATGAATTTTCAACCTTATTTATTTCAGTGTACTATATATCCTTCCTCCGTAGTACTTGTAAGATGCTTAGACAGCGCCAACCCAAGCAAACCGCACCGGTAGGACAAGGGAATGGTCTTCCGGTTTCCCTGTAGTACTGGATTACTACCCCTTGTTCGTTGCTAGTTCTTTCAGCTACGGGATAGAACAGGTCATCTGTTACGATAAAGTTTAGATATATATATTTGTACAGATCGGTCAATCAAGGCAATCTACAAAGATGGCGTGCCTGACACTTTATATTGTTGATGTTGTATCCGTTAGCCTACCCGTCAAAGTAGGACGACGTTAAACAAGGCTGTTTTCAGCCCTCCTTTTCCCTATCACAATTTTTCGAGCGAGAACCCCCACAGCCGTATTGATAGAGTATGTTTTCCGAACAATGATATCACATACTTTGTTGTATGTAATAACGATTGCCTCCTCACTTTTCACAGTAATCAACGGCACTTGAACCGGTAATTTCGGGACTGGATGCTCTGAGGTTAGGCAAATATACAGACGGGGCTAGAAAGGAAGCAGCCGAGTATCTCAGGCACGTTGGTAGATGAATTCTGGTAAGGCTATGCTGAGTACACATATGGAATCCGCTGGCCCATGTAACACCCTACATCTTATTCTTCATCTCTCTCAAACGGTTCATGACCTCCACCGGCTCTGAAGCACCTACCGCCTTGTGGATTTCGGGGTCCTGTGTTTAATCAAAGTTATATATCAGTTATATGCGCATGTATTTACTTGGGGTATGGTTAATAAAGGTTGGTTATGGGGGTAGCTATATCCTTACCGTGACTCGCATAAAGACGTTATGAAGCTTATGGGATAAGAGTTAGTATTTGCATATATGAAAAAGCTCCAACCAATTGGCAAGCTTCGCTAAAAGCGCGCAACACAAGGAAGAAGTTCGGGTAAGGTACCTTCTCGTCACCGATTGTAAATTTCCCTTGAGTCTGCTGATTATTATTGGCATATTCCTCAAGCTTCTTGACAGCATCCGACTGGGAGACCGCGGAGCAAAATTTCACATTCGACTTGGTATATTCATGCCCAGGCTGTCATAAAAAAGGTCAGTTACACACTGCGAAACGTACCAGAGGGAGGTCATGCGACTCACGTATACTTTTGTATCATCTGGAAGAGAAGCAAGGACCTCATTAAGTGCCTTGTGCATTTCCGTTGCATTACCCTCAAAAAATCTCCCGCATCCTGTATCATACGGACGTATCAACTGTTAGATAGAACTAGAATCCTCGTTGCTGGTTCGCATGGAAAAAGGAGGTTTGGGCAACGTACCGCCAATAAATAATGTGTCACCGGTAAATACGACGCGCTCATCCCCGTCTTCAGCAAAGTAGCAAATGCTGTCTTGGGTATGACAAGGGGTATGCAAAGCGGTGACAGTGATCCGCTCTCCAATCTTGAATTTTTCGCTGTGCCCGGGAGTTTGGGTGACATGGGCACAGTCTTTCCCGCCAATCACCGGAAGTTTGCCAAATTGTTTGAGCTAGAAAGACATCAAGACAATTCTGGTCAGTGGATCATCCACAGGTGCTACATCGGAGGGTTATTGCAGATGTGAAAGTTGACCGTGTCACGCAAATAGGGAACATACAATCCCTTCGTTCCCGCCAGCATGATCATGGTGGCTATTTTAATGGTCAGCTTCGGATGGCTGCTTCCGCATAAAGTGCAAATAAAAACGACAAGCTTACTGGTGAGTATTGATGATTGCCTTTAGGTTGATTTTTCCATCGTGTATGCGGGATGTAAGCACCGGAATGACCCTGCACAAGTGTTAGAAAGCTGCAGTTCCCTATCCGTAATCAACTAATATCCGGACCAACTGACTCAGGCGGATGTGCCGGATCTACCACCATGGCATCCTTAGTTGCATCGTCTGATATCAGATATGCATAGTTGTTACCGGTACCGGTCCCTGTATGTGAGATTGTGAGATAGTCTGGGAACGGACAGCGCAATGCTTGGTATCTATAACAGTCTCGCAGGTGGGAGTTAGAACCATGGAAGGTTGGTTACTCACACATGGGAATAGATTCGATATGCATCTTGCGTTTGGTTACTGATGATATCAACCGGCGACAGAGGAAGGCTTTTCTCACGTTCATGAGAGATGATGATAGAAGATGATGTCGATGAGGGGATGTCGGAGTAAGTTACAATCTTTTTGAAGGCGGTCGTGTAGAGTGCTTACTCAGAACTTCTTCAGCCCATGGAATGTAACTATTATTACATCCTTGCTACCTCTATATCTAAAGAGCCCTGGGCAAATATCAAATACGCAGCAAGTGATAGGTGGTTCTCGCCCCTAGCCACAGGTCTTACTAATAGTGAAAACGCTAAAAAACATCTTCAGCCAACGAACTTCAAGCTTGTTCGTCGCATACATCGGACCATCCGATGTTTGGCCCAAATCCTTATTTCCGTTCTCCGTACGACAGAACAGCAAGTGATTACTATATAAAATGCACAATCATGCTGTGGTATCCACGGTGTTCAGACAGTGCCTATCGGCTTGTATGTTATCTGTTGTCCAAAATCCCACCCGTAGTCCCGTAGCACTGCTATGTCCGAATCTGGATCAGTTGAGGTGTCTGGAACGGCTGACGGCTTCAAGCGATCGATTTTCATCTTCTCTGATGCGGGAGTGATTTGGTGACGCAGCAGATCGTGTATCTGCTTAGCCCAATACCCTGCAGTTGTCCCTGGTGCACTGCAGGATGCTTCAATGTGTGACAAGACGAGGTATCGATAACATATTCCAGCCCACACTTGCGCGGTAAGAATATGCTCTAGCCACGAGAAGACATCATCCACGTACGAATCATCGTCTGGGCCTCTAAAGATTTGTCTCTTCCCATTATTAGAGCATCTTGTATCAGCAGAAACTATTATGGAAGCCATTTCCTCAACCAATGCAGTGACGAGTGGCGGGTGAGATTGGCATAACCTTCTCAATACCTCATCCCAGGCGTTGAATGAAGGTGGAAACTCATCCCCTTCTTCGTACCTTTAGGAAGGGAAAAAAATCAATACAATGCGCTCAACAAACGATTGGTGGTATTACTTACCCTTTTACACACGATACGAGAATGCCAGTGTCTGAATCTAATAACATTTCTGCCAGTAGAGCGCCAGCCTCATTTTCTCGGCGGCATAGGGCAATGAGTTGCCGTATGCTGTTCTCCTCTATCTCTAGTCCTTGTTTTGTCTTAATGCTTGCCCGACTACCTTTCTCAGGTTTATTTATCTGGTCGGCAAGGGGTTTCAGCGTCTTCCGCACAACGCCTAGCAGATCCAATACACCTGCCTCTTCTATGTTTTCTCTGGCTGCATCCGGGGAAGGTTTATATAGGTAGCTATGATCATCCTCGATCTTAGCCCAGTAAAATTCCCATAGCCATTCCATAGATCTCTGGGCGGCATCTCTCAGAACCACAAGTGACGGCAAATCCCTGTGAGTAGCTTCATGGCGTAACTCCACAAACGAAGCTGGTATGCCGACAGCCATTGCCTTTTGATACATAGATTGTTTTCGACCATGAAGCTTCGAGTCAACTAACCCGGTTACAAACCTGATAAGCATCGTCAGTATAAAACAGAATACCCACGTAGTATGGAACTAACCGGCAGAAAGCCAAGGAGTAGGCAGCTCGGATAGAAAAGATAGAGTTCTTCTCCGGATCATCGTGTAATATTGCGTCTGTCAATAGTGCGGTGGCTTCAATGGCGTGTGGCAGATTCCCTCTGACTTTCCATACCCAGACCTAGGACGACTATCAGTGTATGGGAATAGAATAATATTTTTTCTTAGCATAGGACATGTCGCGTCTCACCAACGAACAAGCCTTAGCCCGGCAATCTTCCCCGTCGGCTGTCTTGAGATAGAATTGATCTCGAACTGAAACAAGTTGGGAGAAATCCTTCCACGGCGTTACTCTGGGTCTTGCCATGTCATAATATTTTCTGTCGTTTGATACTATATGTAAGACAGCAAAAATTAATATGTAGAATGGGTATATCCGACGCCTAAATGACAAAAACACCACCTCTCAAACTCCCCTTTGCACGAGTTCGCCGAAAATACAGGGGAAAAAAAAAAAGAACATCGCGAACATATTTTGATAAAATAAAGTTTAGCTCGAGCTTTAGTTTGCAGGTGGACCAATGAAAAATAAAGAAAATATATTACTAATCCTATTTAGGGCTACAGTTTAAATTTGCAAATATCAACTTCTTTCGATTGACAACACTTTGCGATGTTTAGAATGGGAACAGTTGGAGACCAAGAATAGTAGTATTAATAGGGAGTTAAGTGTCTATCTACCTAAAAAAAAGGGCAAAAGAACCTAAGCGAACCTTCCAGCCAGTCTGGTTGAGTTTAACAGGTTTGGGTCTCAGTAAGAGGCATAATCATTTTGGTACGATCCAGGAAACGCAACAAAACTGTTAAGCATGACTGCCGGCGCTGCCGTCCAGTTTATGTGGGCATTATATGAAGTGTCCTCATCCACCGGGAACAAGTGACCATCACCCGAGGTGTTCAAACCACCTGCGTTATTCAATTCGTTATGTTTTGAGGTCGTGTCAGTGCTTTTGGCTGGTTGTCCAGCCTGCTCTTCGTCGTCATCACCGTCTGCATCCATATCACTGCAATTCAAGGTTGATGGGTCGAGGGTTTCTTCCAACTTTAGACCTTTGCGCATAATAGGATGTGGGTACAAGATTGGGTCGACGGAGCTGGATAATGATTCGTCCCAGTAAGTGGATAGTGGTTCGTCATAAAGCCCAACACCGACTAGATCCTCTTCGTCCCGGACGCTCTCGCATGAAGAAGTCGATGAAGTTGGAGGTGGCGGTGTTTTTGGTTCTGGAAACTGCTGGTTGGACGGCATGTCCGGTGTCGAGAAGGCAGTATTGCTTTCCATGGCTGGTAGCGAAAGGTGGGCGTGTGACAAAGGTGTGGCGTCGTATGTGGATGAGGTCATGTCTATGTCTTGTTGCTGAGCATAGATCATGGACATTGTAGAAGATAGGTCATAATAGCCGTCCTGGGACATTTGGTATTGACCGTAGGCTGGTAATGCTTGGTCCATGGATGAGTACAGGTAATCTGAGGGGGTGGACTGCTCCGACGTGTATTGTGTCTGTTGGTATTTTGGGAGATATGAGGCCGTGGATGTCGTTGTAGCAGCCGGCTGATAGGTGGTCTGTTGATAAGGGAAGGGGGTATTTGAATAAATGTATGCTGAGCTTGGCAGGCCAGCAGCACTTATCAAGGCGCTCCGGGGAAGCTCATATTCTGGAGAGTGTTGGGCCATGCTAGCCAGACGAGAGCTAGACTCAGCACTGATTGCTCGAGCAGTAGATTGAAGGGCCTTTCTCGAGGTGATGATATCCTGATCAATCGTGCCCGAGTGAGGGTATTCAATACCAAGATAGCCGTGCTGGAACATCCTTTTCTTCGTCGTGTTGTTTAAAGAGTTGTTGTAGGTGAGCTATGGTATCGTAGACGAGGGTGAGAGACGGAAATGCGTTTCCATATGAAGAAGGGAAGCAATGCTCTCTCTCTTATGACGAAGGAGAAATGAGAAGAAAAAAAAAGCCGCGTTCAAGTAGCCCTTGCTCACCAGAAAAAGAAAAAAAGGGAGCAAGCAGCGACAAGAAGGACAGGGACCATTGTTATGTGTGGAGAGACAGTCTTTGTTTAAAGGGTATGAAAAGAAATAAAAATTAAGGCAGAACCGCCAGCCCACTCTTGATATGATGTTCCCCTGGGCAATATAACAGCTTTGCCGGAATACCAAGCGTTTAGACTGGCTGCTAGTAAGCATGTATAGAGTTCCTCTGAACGGGTTGAAGAGAGGTTGGTTGATTTCACATAGAAGATCTCATATAGCCTGGCTGGCCCTGTGGAGATCGGGCGGTAATATAAACTCGTGAAAAAAAAAAAAAAATAAATATACAATAAATATGGAGAAAACGACATCATCGACAAGAGGGAACTTGCAAAAAAAAAAAGAGAAGAGGAACAGACGGAGTCTCAGGCCCATCCGTTCGGGCATTGAATAAAAAATTATGGTTTTTTTTATTTTTCTTATTGAAAAAAGAAAGATAAAAAAAAATGTGTCATGCAGTGTGGCAGGACGACCCATGGCTCCAGCAGCCGCCATGCACCCGGGCCTGGTTTGTGTTTGACCAGGCGACGGGGGATCCTTGATAGTTCAGGGTTGCTGGGAAGGCAGCTCAAGAGACAGAGGAAGAGAGAAAAAAGAAAGAAGAAAAAAAGAAACCGCGGAGATAATCAAGAGAGACAGACAAGAGACGAAAAGCAATGTGTGAATCGGTAACAATCCCCAAAGAGACAAAAAGACGGCCACCGAACCGCCCGCCATCCACGGCCGTGACGTGATGCGCGCGCCGTATTTTAATCTCTCGGAGACGCCAACATCCAGTGCTTGGATCCAGATCGCGAGAAGTGCGTGGGTCAAGGTTTCTGGTCCTCCTTCGATGGTGGGAAGAGTGAGCCAGGCAGGGCAGCCAGCATCGGCTAAGGGGGGGGGAGAAGGAGATAATAGGATTACATTCGATGGCTGGAAAGCCGTCTCTCCTTGGTCTCATCACATCCTGTTGACACTTTTTTTTTTCTCTTTGGGCCATAGAGTGTCTTACATTAGTGGTATCACACAGGAATGAAGAGCGCTGGGCCGAAGCAGAAACGAAGACGATGGACAGGCTCTTGTTTCAGGGATCAAATCATGGCGGATGGTTTAATGGGCTGACTGGCTTGTCTCTCCCAAGGGCGATGGATGGAGCGTGAATGGACGGACCAAGGTGCATCCCGGTTCCCAGGCGATGGGGAACAAACATCGCACGTCCGTATCGAATGCCAAAGCGTTTAAAAATATATTCAAACTGTTGGCTTACACACTATCAGGCAATATGGGGTACCTGGCTGGCCTTCTCTGCCTCTTTCTGCCTTTCCATGGGCACTGCGATGCATGCAAGTTTAGTCTACATAGTACAGCCTGCAAGCAGTTCAGCCAACAGGCGTCGGATCGCTCATCGCTGGGCTATTGGCTTTCCCCTACGCCACGCTCGTCAAGCTACCTCATGAAGAGGGTAAATAGAGCGAACCTTGCGGCCTGGCTGCATGCCGTTCCCTCTCGTGTTACGTACTAGAGCGCCGATTTTATCGCCATTTGGTACTCCGTATGGAGTTGCGGAGTTATTCGTCCTGTCAGATGCGGCAGGGAAGAGAAGCAACTCCAACATCCTCACTACATAGTATATATTACTGATGTGTATACGGGAGTATACATATATAACGGAGAAACATGCCACGACCCACAGGCTACGATACTCCGTATATACCGTAGTGCGCACATGAGAAAGGCAAAGAGAAGGCAGGCAGCATGAAACAACAAGGCAGAGGCGGAACAGAAGTGGAACAACGATCTCGGATACTAATTATGTCTTCTACGGGGCAACGATGACAAGGAATCATTACAATATCAACCAAGCAAAAGGAAAAAAACCCTAAGCGCCCACCAGCACGCTCAGATCACCCCTTAAAAGTGTTTAAGAATTGGTACTCCGTCTGTATGTACCGAGAGATAGATCTCAAATAATACCAAGTCGAACTGATGCACAGCGGCACGCACCAGCACTGCGGGACTCTCGCCGAAGCGAAGGGTCGCAATCATAATCCAGATACGGATGGCTCTTATTAATAGTTGCACCGACTGCGTCGCACATGGAGAATAGAGATGCAGATTACATCACGGAAGAGAAAGTATCAAGAGTTATCGACAGGTCGCCCAGGCTACGACATTCTTTTTTTTCTCTCATCATGCACTGGAGTCTGTGTTGAAGGAATGGGGCCGGGCCAGCGGGTCAAAGGAATGAATGAATGTGATATGCAAGCCGGGCACTCACAGGGCATCCAAGCAGCGGCAGTAGCAGCAACTCTCGAACTGGAAAACCCCGATGGAGCCGTCCGCTAATATCCTACATCCTCTTTGTATATTATTACCTTAAATGATATATACATGGACACGGTGTGCCCGCGCGAGACCCTGGTATCCAGAGAAGATGATGCCTGTCCTTCTCGAAGCAGCGAGGATGGGGCTGAGAAGAGAAGATAGCGTCGAATACGGAGCATTCTAAAAGTACGCCGTATGGGGCCACATGAAAAGATACTTTCTGCTAGCTGGTGGCATCGATCTGCTGGCGCCAATATCAGGTGCTGGGATAAGGGGAGGCATATATATACATATAGTACGTACTATGTACATCGTCCTATATAGGGGGCGAAACTCGTCACAAGCACGTAATATATACGTGGTATTTTTGCCCTCTTGGCTGTCGTGTTGGGTTTCAGTACACGGTATTACCAAGACGGATGACTAACGACATAAGATACGCTGCCCCGGTTGCCGCTTTGGGCGATGCTGGCCGTTCTTCTTCCTTTTTCTTTTCCCCCCCTCGCATGCACGCATGAACAAGAAGCAACCAGCTACAGCAGATGGAGAAGAATACGACCCAGGGCCCCCCGCCTGGTGATGTTATACCATGTCCATACTTCAGCCCTGGCGAGGCAGCCAGGATTAGCCAGGGACGTCGACTAGGATGAACATGGGGTATATACATAAGAATATGTCCGGAGCAAGCAGGTTCATATATATACGCCGTATATATCTACTTCATATGTATATATATATGCTGGAGTATATACAGATACACCTAAGTAACTCCGTATCTTGAACCGTTTCATCCGCGCGTCCTCTTTCCTTACTAGCCACTGGACAGGAAGAAAATTGCCGAGGAGATCGAGGAATTAAGTCTCGCCTTCTGCTCACCCAATTTATGGAATGGGAATACGGGTGTCCTGAACTGAGTTGCTGGGTTGACAAATGTGGACAAGTTACCGCTTGTGTGGCAAGCTCGGGTGCCTCCATCCGACTCAAAAGGAGCCGCCCCCAAGTGCCAATGATCGCTTTTTACGAATAGAAGCACTGGAAACATGGGCTTGACTGAAAAAACAGAGTTGAAAAAGGCCCGCAGGTTCCTTTTGGGAAGGGTTCCACGCGCATGGCTGGTCTCCATCCTTTGCTTTTGCCTTTTATTTTTTGTTCTTCCTTTCTTACTCTCCTCCTACTTATGATATAGCTTGTTATCTTTCCCTCTGTCCACCACTGGCGGCGCTGCATCAACGTTATGCAACTATATTCTTACACTCTGACTAGCCTAGTCGATTACGGAGCCCAGCGGATTGTTGACATACCATCGCGGGCTCTTCTTCCTTGCCCTGCTTACGCATTCCGTCTCCTTTGTGCACATCCCCTGGAAAATGGCCGGCCGCTTTCTACTTCCAAATACAGTAATGCTTGAAGGCATCACCAGCGTCAAAACATACCAATCTGGCTCGCTAATCTCGGTTTCAACCAAAACGGCGGCCTGGGGATACGCAAACCACCTGTTCCCTTCAGAGTCTCCTTTTTCTCGCTTTTCTTTTTCACTCTGCTCTTCCACCATTCTGTGACTACTAATTCACACCGTGCGCACTACAGGGAAGATCACATAGATATTCCCATCATGTCTACCCATATTTCCGTTTTATCTATCTCCGTCACGCGGCCGGTACAGTTTTCTCTCTTTACCTCCACATCGAAGTGTAAAACGTAAATCGAAAAACGTTTCGCTTGTCATCCCTATGGCCCACTGCATAGAATCCACCTGTGCTTTTCTCCCCTTTCCGTTCCATGGATCATATCATGAGCCTGCACGTTTTGCTTTTTTTCCCTCCCCTTTTTTGCAACTTGGATCCTCAAAAGCTGGCTGCCCAGCCACCCTGAGTATGTGTACATTCTCATGCTTCAAGCATATACGCTAATTTTAGTCGTCAATTTGCCATGCCCATAGCCGCTTCCTGGGATTAATTCGGTTCTTCCTAGTAACTTGGCGGGGAATTTGAGCCTTCGTACATGGTACATGTACATATATGTATAAGCATGCTAGATGTATATATGTACATGTAACTTGCCATCCGAGGGGGTTCTTATTCCTGGACTGGCATTAGCCAATCTAAATTTAACTTGCCTACCGAAGCATGGCAACTCTGGTTTCTTGTTGGACAGTCCTTCGCTCCCCTCGTGTATAATATATGTCTTCCCTTGTGTGTTCCGCCTGGGTCTGGATAGTCTGCAGGGGCTTTGTTGTTTCTGCGCCCTTTCGCGAGAAGAAAGGCGAGTTTAGGGGTCTTTGTGAGCGAGCGAGCGACATTTCAATCCCAACTTAGCCTTTGATATACACTTCTATCGCGAGGGTGATATCACAGGCTACTTTGCGATAAGGGATTTGTGACTCACTGGCTTCCCTCTCCCCCTCCAGCTGCAGATGGAACTATATGCCTGGAAGGGCAACATGCAGGCTGCTTTGCTTTCTTTTGTTTTCTTATTTTCTTATGACTATACATATGCCGTATGCTCCGTATAGTGTTCTGTATAACCCGTGCATGGTGTGTCTGTAATGCAATCAGATGATAATTATCCCCCTTGCCATTCAATCTTGCTTCTGGGGTGGCGAAACTAGCTCCGTGGAAGAAAGAGAGTTGAAGACACCAATCATATGCTTGTCATCCCAACCAAGAGTGTATAATCCATTAATTATGTGAATACGTTAGCTCTTCACCTTTTAGCCCCGTTCTGGCGTTTCCATCCGAGAACCTCCCGACTTTTGGGCTCGACACGTTCAACGGGAAAAGGCCATACCCCTTGTTTCCCTCCCAATCCAGGACATGGATAGGACGGCTACCCTGGTAGGTGAAATCGAACTTTTGTGCAGAGGAGTTAACAAAGCCTTTTGATTGGTTTCGATGGGGCTGCTGGTGACTTTATATATACCTGTTATTGCTTGTCCTGAGAGGAACTCTCAGGTTCACACCGAAGATCTCACTCCTTCGCCCATCTTAGTCGAGTGTTATGCCCGCTTTTGCCCAGGTCCCGCGGTCGTTTCATCACCAGAGACTCTCATTCTGCTCTAATATCCCATATCCTTTCAGGATGAGCCCTGTCCCTTTCCTCACGGCGGAGATAACCCCGGACACATCCAGCACCATTGCTTGCACCCAACACCAACTGCACCCTTTAACACGCACACCAGGATTTCCGTGACAAACAGCTTGGAGCACACTGATGCCACACAAGGCCACATCTGATACTCGAAAGTTTAAAACCCCACGGACCGTGAGATCTTAAGTTGTAGCTTTGTCTTTTTTTCGCTTTTTTATTCACCGCATTTTTTTCCCTCCCTTGTTCCCCTTTGAACTTCGTCTATTGAAGGCGGATCAGAAACCAACGGCCACTTCACAGCTGACTATCTTTCCTTTCCCCTTCTTTCCTTTTTCCTTTTCTGACTCTCGCTTCGATCGGTGTTAGTCTTCTTCGCCTCTCTGTTACCAGTGTAACTTCTCCAACACGTTGGGCACCTTGGAAATCATCTGGCAATGCTCTGTTTCCCCCCTCGATCCCTGCTCGCTCTCACCAGTTAATTTTTTGCGATGAAACCTACATAGTATACATATTTCCCACGGGGTCTCCACAGTCATTTCACGGCTTGAACGCTGTTGACACACCAACCCCGCTAGCCGCCCAGCTCAGCTGGGTTTGACTGGGCTTTTTTTTTCGGTTTTCGATGCATGTAAGTATATACATACACATATAAAATACATAAAGTAACGTCGTGTCCTTGTGTGAATCCTCGTCGATCAGAGTCGTCTGGCCCGGGAGGTTTTTGGATGTTGATGGCAGCGGGCTAGCTGGAGAAGGGCGATACCAGATTAATTCATAATCCACAACCAGGGCCCAAGGGGAAAAGCATCATGTGCAACCCGACCTAGCTGATGGATCTCTTCAAGAAAAACAAAAACAAAAACATCATTTTAATATAATATGTCCTCTCGGAGAAGGCAGAGGTTCAATTATCACATTAAACTTCGATGCAGTCACCATGTACATTGAGTAAGGGACTTTGGACCCAATGTTACTCGACATGCTTGTGCGGGCAAGTATTCTGGTCGGATCGTCCTATTTCTCCCGCTTTCCTTCTTTCTTTTGTGCTCTTTACTTTTTCTTTTTCCTAGGCCAAAAGAAATCGAGAAGGAAAAATAAAATAAACACGGGCCCGCCAGTCTGCAATATTTATTCGTCATAATGCTTGCTTTCTTCCCATCGAAACCGTTGCACCTATGTGGATGCCTTGATGGAGCATGACGCTTCTGAGGCCGCGTATATGTGACGGAGATGATATTGATACCACGTACGGAGTATATTTGACATCGAGTCTGGCAGCCCAGTTTAATATAATTTCATGCTGCCACGGGGAAACTATTCAGTTCAACATCTCGCTTGGAGGAGGCACATGTCTGGCTGATCTATTCTGCCCAGATAGGATGGATGGACAAACAGGCATAAGAGACTAAGGGTTGACCAGACACGGGTACTCGTTTTGAATCTGGGGTTGCATCCGGTATCGCGTAGTCTTGTCGTGCTGACGAGGATTGAAGATCTCGGATGGAAACCGGAGCAACAGACTAGCTATCTATCTGTCCTGCCTTTTTTTTTTTTTTGCGTCTTTTTGCTCTTGAATTTTATCTCGTGTCATGATATCCATGGAAGGATTATGCATATTCGGATGATGCATATTCGCAGAATTCAGCTGTGTCTAAGCAACTGAACTAGACAACTGCTGCAACGCTGGACAGGGCTTTTTTCGATAGATGAGGCTGTGCTGTGGTTTTTGTCCAACACCTGCAAACGTCGTAGATTCCACAGCAGGCCGACAAGGCCCGGAGTGGCACAGGGCTACCCTGCTCTTTCAGCGGGTATATTATCTATCATAAACTCCATCATGAATATCGCCTTTTACGTGTTGCTGCTTGTGAAGATGAACGTGAAGCTGGCCTATGTTGAGCATATAGACTCACAGGTTTTGGCGGACATTTCTGTTTCTTTTCTCTCGATCAGGGGTTTTCTTTAGTATTCCATTGGAGTTGATACCGGTAAATCCTTGGAGAATTTGCAGTGTTATCGAATATAACCGAGTTGCTTGTTTTACATAGATTCAAATTGATGTTTTTTGTATGTCATGAAAATAAAGCCGAGGCTAAAAACCTTCTTTGAACATCTTCGAAGTGTTTTATGCTGTCATAGCAAGAGCAAGCTCGAAAAATAAACTAGTTCCCTCCAAGAGCTCAAGATGCAAGCAGTACAATCGCCCTGCTTTAGATAGTCTTACGAACGCCGCGGAATCTCATGGAGGATCATGCCGAGATTCGACATCACCTGGAGGTACGTACTACCTTCTATGCAGAGACCTAGAGGCCACTAAAAAAAGGAGCTGCATCTGCTCATCGGCTTCTTGCCTGCTGCTCTACAGAACTTGACCTATCCTGTTGGACACAACCTTTTTCATACGATGCTAACAGCTGAGGAATCTCCTCACAGGTAGTATTCGAGGCCGACAGTGGCCATCGTCGAAAATCCTCGTTTGTCTCTCCTGATACCCCGCGCCTTGCTCGTCGACATGAGACACAGACATCAGACCAAGCGGCTTGTTTCGTGCATTCTCTGCTGGGACAGCCTCGAGGGGTACAGCTAGACCATATCGATGAGCATGGCAAGGCTGTCACTCCGCCTGTTGGCCAACAGCCCGGAGACGGTGGCAAAAGCCCTTCTGGACCGTCACGGCTTCTGACAAAGAGAGAGCTCTCTGATATGGCGTGGAACGTGCGTGCGTTGTCAAAGAAACTGGGCAGTTTGAAGCTGAAACTCAACGTCCATAGCATATTCATCTTGACGAAGCCGCAGGACCAGAGTTTGGCTCGATTGACGAAGGAGGTTACGGGCTGGCTCCTCGGGCCTGACCAGAGAATACCATTTACAGTCTACGTGGAGAAGAGGCTGGAGAATGATAAGCAATTTGACGCACAAAGCATATACACTCAGGAGCCGTCCGCGAAGCAGAGACTGAAGTATTGGGATAACTGTCTCATCGAGGATCATCACCATCTTGTCGATTTCGTTATCACACTTGGTGGCGATGGGACCGTCTTGTACGCGAGCTGGCTCTTCCAACGTGTAGTGCCGCCAGTCCTATCCTTCTCTCTGGGATCCCTAGGCTTTTTGACGAAATTCGATTTTGATGACTACAAGGAAACCCTGCAACGGGCCTTTACTGAAGGAGTCACTGTCAGCTTACGGCTACGGTTTGAATGTACTGTAATGCGGAGCAGGCAGAGATCATCCGGCCAACCTCAGATAGAAAGGGATCTGGCTGAAGAGCTGATCGGTGAAGAGTCAGATGATAATGTTACCCATTCTCCGGATAAGATGTTTCAAATTCTGAATGAGATTGTTGTTGACCGTGGACCGAATCCAAGTATGTAACTTTTATTTTTCATCTGGTTTGATATATAGGCTAATGGGTATTGGTTTCTAGCAATGTCGTCCCTTGAGATATTCGGAGACGATGAACACTTTACATCCGTTCAGGCCGATGGAATCTGCGTTGCTACTCCCACGGGCTCTACAGCATATAACCTTGCCGCTGGCGGCTCTTTATCTCATCCCGAAAATCCCGTTATTCTTCTTACAGCAATTTGTGCTCATACTCTCAATTTCCGCCCAATTATACTTCCAGATACTATAGTACTCCGTATAGGGGTTCCATATGGCGCCCGGACGAGTTCATGGGCGAGTTTTGATGGCCGTGAAAGGTATATTCTTGCTTCCTCTATTTTACCTAAAACCCCCATCTGTGCCTATTCTGACTTCTGGTTCCGTAGAATTGAGCTACATCCCGGAGATTATGTTACAATATCTGCATCCAGGTTCCCATTTGCCAATGTGATACCCTCTGGCCATCGCAGCTATGAATGGATACAAAACATTTCTCGCACGTTGAACTGGAATAGCAGGTATAGGCAACAGAAGCCGTACGAAAGTAAGTACCTTGACCAGGTTCACGCTCCTTAGCATTGGTTAAGGCCTGGTTCTAAATGGCCCCGGGATATTATAACCCAGTTGCACCAAAGTATTATTTTACCAATATTTCCCTCTGGTTATAGGAGACTTGATAATTTGATGTAAATAGTAGCCATAAATAAGTCTTTGAGAGGCTTTTATTGGACTGTCCAGTTTCTATGAATAATCGTTTAAGAAGGCTGGATGTTACTATCTCTATAATAGTCGTAAATAAGAAATAAATGTGGTCAAACATCTGATGCTTAGAGATCTTGGCGACGTTGGAGCCGCAGCGCAACTTTGTCCACAACCAAATCCTCTAGCAATAACAGCCAATTGACGAAATAATATATCCCGACTCATAACCACCATCTGCCCCTCCTCCAACACCCCAGCTTCCGAGATATATGACACCTATAGCACGACTAATTAATCACCCTAAGCTACCTGCGCATATAGTGGGAGCCGGCCATCCCCATCATCATACACAACTCCATCACCGAATCAGCTACGATGAGCGCGCCTCCTAAGGTTCATGCGCACGCTTCTTCAGCGAGTGCGATTGCTAATGTCAGCCTGAGCGGACAAGGAGGCCAGCCGGCAACTCCACGTTCGCCGCAACCGTCACAGAGCCAGCCATCAACCGGACTACGAGTCCCCTCCAATCGTAAGACCATATATGACCGAAATTTGAATCGTACGCGAAATGCAGAGCTTAGCAAGGCGAGCTTCGGTTATCTCTTTTCTGAAATGGTGATATATGCCCAGAGACGAGTTACTGGAATTCAAGATCTCGAGAGACGGTAAATTTACTGCCCAGCAGACAATCTCATGTGATGAAAGTAGTATCCCTTTCCTGACAATAGACCGCCAGGTTAAATGAACAAGGTTACCCCCTTGGACTGCGTCTGCTAGACCTTCTCCTTTACCGATCCTTAACTGGTTCATCGACAACGAGCACCCTTACCTCTCAGTCCTCCTCAAGCAACCAACCTGTTAGACCTCTCCGTATCCTCCCACTCCTCCAGTTGATTCATGGGCCCCTATGGAAGCTCTTATTCTCACGACCAGCAGATGCTCTTGAGCATTCTGTTTCTCCAGCTACGCCTAATGAATACATGATTACTGACAACGACCCGCTCACAAACACTTATATATCCGTCCCGAAGGAAATGAACATGTTGAACTGTGCGGCTTTTGTAGCCGGTATTATTGAGGGTGTATGTGATGGGTGCGGCTTTGAAGCCTCTGTGACCGCTCACAACCAAGGAAATGATATGTGGCCGAGCCGGACAGTCTTTTTGGTGAAATTTGGAGACTCCGTTATGGAAAGAGAAAAGACTTTGGAGCGAGCCGGAATTAAATGAATCCACCCAACTGCTGATCCAAAGGGATTCCATATCAGCCACTTTATTGAAACGGGGTCTCTTTCCGTACATGCATTTTTGGGACATTTTTACGTGTGCATTGTGTTTGAGAAGCGCGGCGTTTACGGCTAGGGAGTTCACCTTTAGAAGGGCAATAATCAACCAGGGGGCGGAGCTATTCAAATATACGGGGAGAGTTCATATTTCAATATACTCCAAATATATCGGCTTATATGTCGGGATATCAGCTTAATGATGGACAATGTCGAATATTTGCCTGAAGTTGAGAAAGGAAGCGGTTGATACCGGATGTCAATGCCAAATGATTGCCCATTTTGAGGCGTTCCATGAAGACATGCTAAAAGTACATTTAAACCCCAATATATACACCCAAGCCCCCGGAAAATGCAAGGATTATATCATCGCTATACAAGAACTGAGTAAATAAGATGTAGATTATGACACTGTGTCTACCTTACGCCTCTTATCTCGATCGTGATAAGGCGAAGGGCTTCGCTTCCTTCGACTTCTATCATCGTCATCATCACGATACCGGTGTCTTCGTGGAGGAGACCTTGACCGTGACCTCGAATAGTCTCGTCTACGGCGCGGGGAACGAGAACGAGGGTGAGGATGGCGGCGTTCCCTCACTGCACTTGCATTTGCCCCCGATGGCCCCGATGACCTCCGAGAATCTCTCTCATGACTATCAGGCAGGAATCTTTCGTCCTTGATACCGAATCGAGCGGCACTGCTTGCCGGCGCGTTTGATCGATAATAGCTTTCCACCCCCCATTTACCTGTATCCTCGGACTTTAAGTCACGATACTTTGTCCGGCCTTTGCGTCCAATCTTGGTTGCATCCCTGACTTGCAGGTATTCGGGCAAAGCTTCACGGTTCTTAACCTCGTCCACGTAATGGCTACCCATAAGATCTCTTCCAGTAAGACCATGCTTCTCCGAGTCAGGCTGGAAGAAGGCACCTTTGTGAAAGTATCTTTGCATAAATCCAGCCTTTCCCTTGCCAGATTCTCGCTCCTCCTTTTGCTTGTCAAGGAATTCGCGATCCTCGCGCTCGCGTTCCTCAGCAGTCAGGTTACGTCGGCGCTCAATCTCCTCTCGTTCCTTTTCTGCAGCCTCGATGGCTTCGCGTTCGCGTTTAACTCGTCTGAGCTCACGGAGTTTCCATGCAGCTAGTTCAGCAGCCGGGTCGACGCCGTCTGTATCGTCGATATGATTTTCATCAACTCCTGCTCCTGTATCGTCAACATCATCGTCCCACGTCTTTCTACCAGCGATCCGAGCGGCTGCGTCCTTCTCTAGTTGATCTCGAATTAGTAAGTCCGCTTTATCCTTTCGCCGTTTAAGGGCTTCAGCCTCTGCTTCGGGGTCAAGGGCAGATGAAGCTGTCGCAATATGGCCACTGGTGCTTGAAGCTGCTGTGCCTTTACGCTCGCCTTTCTTTATAAATGTTGGGCGAAGTAGCAGTCTCTTTGGACCCTCATCCTCTGAGCTAGATTCTTCTTCCTCCGACTCCTCTTCTGACCCTGACCCTTCCTCCGACTCCTCTTCTTCTTCTTTAGACTTCTCTGATTCCTCCTTTTTTATTGCCCCTGCATTGGTGCGCAGCTTATCGGGAGAAGTTTGCGTAGTACGTTTGGAAGGGATCTCTTCAGCGTCCTCTTCTTCTGTTACAAACCCTTCTTCGTCTTCCGTCTCCTCCTCCAATTTAACCTGACGAACTCTAGAAGTTATATGCTTGGGACTTGGAGGATGTTGTGTTTGATGCGCCTGACCAGTATCCTGCTCGTCGTCCTCTTCCTCTTCGGATGATTCGACTTCATCTGCAATTGGCTTGCCTGGTCGATATCGTTTCGCTGGTTGTATGCGCTTCGCGGCTGTGCCACGACCGAAACTTGGGAATGATGGGGGAGCCATGCTTGTCTACGGATGCATATGTTAGTTATATAGCAGTAAACATGGTAGCGGGCAAGGGAAAGTAGCTTCTCGAGCTCTGAAATATCTTTCTCTCTTGTGCCTTTTTTTCTCCGTTGATAAATGTTGAAGCTTGGACCTCCTATCGATAATCAACATGATTAGTCATACTGAAAACGGAATATCTATGATACGTAACCGGCTTAGTCATGATGTTTATACACGTGATATATATATATTTTAAGTTCTGGATCTCCTTTTGATTTGCATGCGATAAAAGTGTGATTGAGTGTTTATACGGGTGGTAGAAAGCCTCTTTTCTTCTTTGGCCACCCGACGGGGGCGCCAAGTGGAGCTTACGCTACAAGTTGCCCGAGGCGTCCTTTGGCAGCCTGAGGCAATTGGCTTCAACCGAGATTTGCCAGTCCTTCGCCTGTTTGATGAGGCAGCCGGCAAGGGGGAGATGGAGGACCGGGAAGGCGAGCCAGGCATTCAGGATGATCTATGCAGGTGGGTCTCAGGTTATATAAAAAATTGTGATGAGGTGGACAACTTCTGCATTCTTCAGAGAGTCCTCAGCTCGATTGCTCCATTCCCAAGCATCAGTCATGCAGTCGATCTCAGGGGCCTCCGCAGAAAATAGGGCCTGTCCCCTTTTTTTGTCTCCAATAATAGTTCCTCTTTTGTTCCTGGAATATCAACCATTCATGGGGGTGAGCTAAGCTGCAGAAGGCTTAGTGGTCAGGTCCCAGTTGCAGACTACTGCGAAGTGGAACCTTCAGAGACCAACCAGCATCGCCCAGTAGAGTACTGTTTCATGGTCCGAAAGCCCCCGTCATATAATAATGACGGGAAGGGGGTGCAATCGAAATTCAATCGTTCGACGAATTTCTTCTCTCACTCATCATCACCACCGCCAACTGTTATCAGTCTCCCCCCTCTGAGGGGTGTGGCCTATTGTCTCTCATTCACATTCATTTGGTCGCACTGACTTATGATAGCTTCCTCTCTTTAAAAAAAAAAAAGGAGACATCCACAGCGAATTTACAGACCGTTTTTTTTTCATTCTTTGAGCACGTTTCTGCCATTATAACGTCGCATTACGTCCCACAACGATGGCTCCTCAACGTATTTCCCTCCTTTCATCGCTAGGGTATCTGTCCTGCCTTCTATCGCCGGTTGTCGCCCAGACGTTCTCGTTCTGCAACCCGTTGCTGGTTGACGGCTGCCCTAATGCCCCGGCTTTGGGACAGAACTTCACCACTAATTTCACCGATCCACTGAACACCAAAATCTGGAATGCTACCAATGGAGTTGTTGATATCACTCGCACTGGCGCCAATTTTACAATCAGGAGAGAACTCGACTCGCCAACCCTTCAAACGTTCTTCTATATCTTCTTCGGCACCGTCGAAGTCCATCTGAAGGCTGCGACTGGAAAAGGTGTGGTTAGCAGTGTAGTCATCCAATCAGAAGCATTGGATGAAATTGATTGGGAGTGGGTTGGCTCAGAGACAACCCGAGTTCAAACCAACTATTTCGGCAAGGGAAACACCACCTCCTATGACCGCGGTAAGAATTTCGACGTTGATGGACCTATGGATACATTCCATAACTATACTGTCAACTGGACGCCAGAAAAAATCGAATGGTATATCGATACCGTACTTGTCCGAACTCTACTGTACGAAGAAGCCCTTGGTGGAAAGAACTTTCCCCAAACTCCGTCAACCGTTCGCCTGGGTATCTGGCCGGGTGGAGACCCGCACAACCAGAAAGGTGTTATTGAATGGGCTGGCGGTGAAATCGACTATGATAATACCCCGTATACCATGAGTGTTAAACAGTTGAAGGTTGTTGATGCTCATAGTGGGAAAGAATATCAATATTCCGACAAGTCTGGTGACTGGCAAAGCATCAAAGTAATAGAGTAAGTTGCCGGTGTCTTCCGTTTACCCATCGATGAGTGTGTATGATCAAAACTAACGGCTCCCTACAGGGGTGTTTCTGATATCACAAACGAGATCAACAAGCCCCCACCAAAGTCTCTTGCACAAAGATGGCGAGAACTATCATCTGGGGCTAAGATCGCTATATTTGCCTCCATTGGCGGAGCTGTCATTCTGGGTATGGGAATTATAGCATTCTGCTGTGTCAAGCAACGCCGAGCTGGACGACGCGAGTTCTCCATGGAAAACAGCAAATTCATTGAGGATCAGAACAACGTCATGGCCATGAGGACTCAGTGGAGCCATAAGTATAAGCCAGTCGGTAGTTGATAAACCATGTCCCTCTCTTCTCGTCGCCAGCTCTCGTTGGCACTCTCGATCCCATGTTCTTTTGGCTGGCCCAATGCTCTTAACTGTCATTGACCTACACGGTCTTCGTGCCGTTTGTGTGGACATTCCACTCTTGACATGCCATGGCTCGCCTTTCACTAGTATTGCGCCTGTTTTTTCTCATATATTCCTTGATCCTGTTTTTGCAGAGAGCCCCCCGATCGAGTTATTGTTCCATGCCCCGTTCCTTTGGCGTCGTAAGGTGAATATGTTATTTTATTACTTCTTTTCTGAGTAGAGTTATGAAAGCAAGATGCTTGCATAATGGGGGGGCCTGTGTATAGCAAATAAATTCTTTAATACCATTTCAAAGAGTTTCAACTGGCTCTGTGTCGAGATACTTTCTGGCTGATGTTCCCTTTCTGGCAACGTTTCAGCCTCATCCGGGCCCGGCGTAAAGATGATCCAGCCCCGCAACGCCTAAGCTTAGTCATCAACGCGTCACGCGTTTTCCTGGTAAATGAGCTTTTTGGGGAGTTTTTCTTTGATGGGATATCAAACCACGTCCGTAAACTACGGCAGAACTAATACTGGGATAATAATACCTTGTCGAGAGATACAGATCAAAAAGCCCCTCTAGATCAGCCGGTTTGCACAGGACTGGATAAATTGCCTATTCATAACAGCACAATGTCTCTCGTCACGCCCCGCATCCTACCTGAATATCTTCAACAATTTTATTCCTCAGGGCCAACAAGTGGTCGAATGCCGAGTGCGGTCCGGATTCTTGGAAGAGTATCTTCGCTACGTGGAGAGTACGCGACTATTACTTGCGGTGATCATGGAGATATCACACTGCTGTTGAACAGAGATTCACACTTACAGATGGATAGAATGGTGGACGTGGTTGGAAAGGTTGTGGAAGTCGAAGGGGTAAGTGTTTCCGGAGTACGTCTGCGAGTTATTTAGATATTGACATTACGGTTATGGCGTGTAGAATCTCGGGATCAGAGTGTTTGGAGCCACTGATTGTGGCAGCCCGCATGAAGTTGGTTAGTTTTATCTTGTCTTCCTCATTCCCAGGAAGCAATGCTGATAAAGAATTTCAATACGATAGACTACAAAATTTATGAGCAACTTGTGGATAGCACCCATAGATTCAAAACTATTTTTTATGATTCCGGGTGAGATCACTAGGTGTACATTTTTCTTACTTTATAGGAGATAGACGTATGAATCTAAGTGTGTAGACTCTGTGACAGGGGATGAAATACAAGTCCAACCCAATCAATCATACAAGAGTTCAGTTCACCTGGAAAGTAAATTTCCTGATATTAATTTATGAATCAAAAATAAACGTAAATATCGCACCCCCGCGCTAATTCATAAAGAGACCTGAGGGTATATTACCTTTCATTTAATTTACTTTACAGTAATATATCTGAAGAAAAAGATTGACTTTTGGTAAATTGATATTTATCGATTGGCAGCTAAATTATGCTATGGAGCACATAATGCGCCTCACTGATTGCAAATACAGTTGCCACACAACTCACTTCTCAAGATATGCATCGCTAGTAACATGAGTCATTAGTAAACTACAAGGTATCATCATAAACATAAGAGGGGCTGAGCAAAGCAGGGAACCTGGAAGGATAAAATCCAAGCAGATCGACCTTTCAAAACAAAAAGGGGCCCGACTGGAACGGTGCCATCCAAATGTGACCGGGCTATTGATGTTATCCTTTAATGTAGAACGAAGAAAAAACAAGACGCAACAATGGAGTTGTGATCGGGAAGTATTATGTATAAACTTCAGTTAGGTAGCCATTTATGGGCCTCTAGTTGTATTCCGGATCTCTTGCATCATCGCGGAAAAGACGGCTGGGTCAAGGCCTTCCATACTATCATTTCCCCGAGGAGAGGGGTTAGTGGTGTCTTTCGACCATAAGTTCATCAGCTGCGGATCGACAAGTGATGCGGAGTCAAAAATGTCAGACTCTGGAAGGGCGGAAATATCGTTGATTTCGCTCTCAAGGAAAGATTTAAAAGGCGAGATGGCTGGCACACTGCGAGCGCGCCCTTGAGTCTCGGGTTGTTGCTACCTGGTTTCGTCTTATTC